AATATTTATAAATATTTTGTTATTTATATTTAATACAAATAATGTATTTAATCATTTTCTTTTTATCTTTGAATTTTTCTCTTCTTATTAGTTCTCTTCCATTCCACTCAACTCGTCGATCGTTTTGTACATTTCGTTTACCTAATTATTATTATTATTATTATTATTATTATTTCGTGAGAATACTTTAGTGCATTTTTCGATAAATGTAAGAAATCTCGTCGATATACGATTACGTGAAGCTCGTTTACAGACTTCATTCTATATAGTATTATATTTATTGAATTATAAAAGAAAATCACATTCTACGATCTTAAGTAAGGATTTCTTATGCCTAACGATGTGCGAAAAAAAATCATTGTTGTTCTTTTATGAATTTTATAGATTATAAAAACATTTTAGCTAGTAGCAGCGAGATTATTCAACGTTTTTGAGGTTCCACTTAAAAGGGAATGACAATTGTCGTATATAATTAACTTAATATTAACACTAGTCTTATACATTTAACAGTTACCAAACATATCGCAAAACGTTATACTAACATCAAATATATCGTATTAATTAATACGTAGAAATAATTCGATTAAACGTATTAATTATATATATTAATATATATGACACATATACGGTATTTATGTAAATTATATCAATACATGTACTTGCTGTTTAGTGTGATATACACGCACACACGCGTACACGAATATTATATGCATTGACACGTAAAGTTAGCTCAAATCGATCCTTTGGGCGTTGTTGTTTTTATTTTTATTTTTATTTTTTTAATTTTTCTTCACTCAGAATGCATTTAGAACAAAAAATATTAAGTGACCACGAGCACGCACACACACGTATGAGAGAATAAATAAATAAATAAATGAATAAACACAAAAAATGAACAACGTAGTAATTATAAGCATAGACTTCGCATCTAGATATATAATATATTGCTCTAGAAAATGTATATTACGTTTATGTATGATATTTGTACCTGAAGTTCGCACGTTATGTTGAGATCATTTTGTTTATTAAATAAAATATCGCTATATCGAGTATATATGATATAATATATATATATATATATATATATATGCGCTCTGGTTATATGATTTATAAAACGTGCAACAAAAGTGCATCTCGTTTGTTTCTCATATATTATTTCTTATAAATAATTATAAATGAAAATAAAAAAACGAAATGATAAAAAAAAAAAAAATAAAAAATAAAATACAAACGAAAAGAAGTATGATCGCGCCGCACTTCGATGGTTTCGAATTCATTTCAATCAAAAACGCTTCTATTATCGAATAAAAAGATATCGATTCTTTTTATTTACCCCCCAACCCTTTGCCACCTCTCCACCCCCTCGTTAAAGTTAAATTGCCCGGACGCATTGCGTGCAAGTTTACGAGCTGTATTTCTTCTTCCTATTTTTTTGCTTGCTCTATTTAATTTATTTCTTTTTTTCTTTTTTTTTTTATTATTTTATTTTCCCATTTGTAATTACCTGTTACTGTACTAGTAGTAGTAGGACAAAGATATTTCATTGTGCGTGTTTAACGGAAACGGTGTTCCGGACAACAAATAACGTATGTAGTAACGTATCAATTAGTTATAGGCATTGGCGGCGATTAATGGTAACTTTTTACTACCATTCTAAAACATTCAAAAGGGTATTTAAATAAAGCAGGATTTGTTCCTGGCGCGGTGATGCCATTTCGATTGGCCGTAATTGAAGTGCTCAAATCCGCGTAGAAAATGACAAATTCTGCAATTCGGCTTGATTACGCTTGCAGTTTCCCGTTACGTATCGAAGTGTGCAATCATTCTTCTTCACCCCATTTACCCCCTCACTCTCACACTGTTATCACAACTTCCCCCACTATCATGCTACTTCGATAGCGTGACACGAAATCAATTGACGTAGGCCACGCTGGGAATACGTAATTACATTGCGAAAAATATAACAGATCACCTTGGTTGTTGGTCCTGATGATTTTTTTCTCACCAAATATACGCTGCTGCTTATTCTTTTTATTTTTCTATTATTATTACACGTATCTACGTAATCTTTTGAAAAAAAAAAAATAAATCGAATGACAAATTATAAACCGATATAAAAAGAAAAGAAGGAGGATACAAAAAAATACATGCGTGCAGTTCACACGCAATAGAAGTGTAAAACTTTTTAGATAACTAAACTTCAAGGGAACAGCCAAAAGCAAAAGTTAGCTGAAGTTAGTTAGACGATCTTATGTAAGTCATATATCTCTTATTTCGAGATATTAGGATTACCTTTGAACACTAAATGATTTCTATATGATATTGAAATAACAAGCACTATCTGATGCTTCATTTTTTGATAATATCGTGAAAATTACATTGAATTAATTTAATTTAAAATAATGTGGTGTGAAATAACTAATAAACTCATTATTCTGTTCGATAATATCATTTTCTTTTGACTGTCTCCATAATGGCAACTGATGGTTTTTTGTTTTCAGTGTGAGATTCGTTATATTGAATAAGTATTATTTTATTTATTTCCTTTTCTACACATATTTTATTTTAAATCACAAATAACGGACAGATTTTTCCGATATACCTAATATATACCGGGAGGGTTTTTAAAAATGCGTTAAAGAAAAATAATATAAAAGGATAAATAAGATGAAGTAAGAACATTGAGATCTGTTTTTCGTCGAAAAATCGTGCGTACCGAAAACGTCAATCAACCAAGCGAACTCGTCGACTCCGGTATTACCGGACGCCGTTTGGGCCTGTCAACGTACGGCCCAAACAAATGTTTCATTGTTCGCCGACATTTAATTACGCGTACGGATCCGCAAAAGGATTGAGTTGGAGAGATGGAAGATCGGCGGAAGGGTAGAAGGGAGGAAGGGGGGTTAAAGAATACGAGAGTAGAGTAGAGTAAAGTTGAGAGGAGAGAAGAATATCGAGAGAGGGGGGGGATATAAAAAAGGACAATTGCTGTGGGGGGAAGGGAGGGAGGGGAGGTTGCGTGTGGTGTTTTCTCCGAGTCGTCGGGGTTGCATCGAAAGCACGAATTTAAGGCTAATTTATGGTGTAATTTAGTTTCAATGTCGGCAGCATAAATCTTCCGACGGTGGACAGGGGCCCGGACCCTGGGATTGGGGAAAAAAAAGTCGGCACCAAACACAAAGTTCTCCAAACCGACGGGGGTGGTGGGGGACGAGGAAGAAGACCCAGCTACGGTTTACTTTTTATTTTATTTAATCGATTTCTCTCTCCCTCTCTCTCTCTCTTATTCTCTGTCTCCTTATCCTTGTTTTTTTTTACTCACGCGTCATTTTATTTTGCTTTACGATTTGTCGATGACAAACGACAACGATTATCATTCAAATTAATCTTTAACGGATTCTTTTTTTTTTTACTGGTCAGGCCTAAAAAAATGCCCAAATGTTAGACAAATTCATATCTCGTTTTAATTTAGTTCGATGATATTCCCGGGTAGGCCCATTAATTGTATAAGTTTTACACATTCTCGGGCGTTAATAGATTTTTTTGAGTACAGGTGAGAAAGAAATAGTGCATTATATTATTTTGATGCGACAAATGAAGTTTTATCAAAGTGTATCATATATCAAATTTCATGAGAAAATTCATTTCAACGTTGTATCTCACAATTCTATGGGAAAAATAGGATTTAATATTGTTACAGTGTAACGAGATAAGATCATAATAATCGTTGATGAAAATATAAAAGAAGAAACAAAATAAAATAGCGTATTACATTAAATGGTTAACTAATTTACGAGACGTTTAAATCGGCCAGTGGTCATGGAAGAGACGTGGGAAAAGAAGTATTGGTTTTAACGCATCGACAGGTAGATAAGGGACCACGTTGGAAAGGTCACGCGCCCAACCATAATGAAAGTCAAACCTCGAGATGATGTTCGCTACATTACCATACCGTTACCGGTCCTCGCGTGGGTTTTAAAGACGAGAAAGGTAATGTCGAACGTGAGAAAAATTCACGATTACTTTATCACCGAACTTTTACCTTGACTTAAGTATTGACTTAACACGATCTACCACCTCCGTAATCTTTCTTTTCATTATTATTTTCTTTTTTTAATACACACCCAATATTCGTATTTACCCAAGGACAACTTCATACAACCGAGATTGTCAGAAAGAAATTTAAAAAGAGAGAGAGAGAGAGAGAGAAAAAGAGCAAAAAAAGTTTATTTAAAATGATCGGCTCACGTAGAACGCGAAAAATTGTATAAACCGAGTCGAATTTCTCTAACGCATCCGGTGAATCACGGTGAATCGATGAGAGAGCGTTATATTTATTTCTAGGCGAGCCGTGAAAAAAAGTCGTCCCGTCCATTCGCGGACGCAGCAAGGGAACACAACACGCGCCGCTTGCATCCTGTTGTCGTTCTCGTCGGATTCCGATATATCGAACGCTTATCCATCGCGAATAATATTACGGGAAGTATCGTATACGGGAATTGTCCAAATTATCGTCGAATCTATTTCCCTAGAGGAAAAAAAGATAAAAGGAACAACAACAAAAATTACGAAAAAAGGATA